TTAAGACGTCCAAACCTTTAAGCTGAATGTACAAACATTTATCAACAAATTACAAAATACAATGCATTAAGTTTAAACGTAAAATTAATATGAAACATTCAAACCTACATCCTTATCTTATCTCATATAGAGGATTTACATTTTTAAAAAATCATATTTTTTTACTAGAATGAGATACAAGACATAATGCAATTTATACAAGCCTTTTATGCATTAAAATATTGTTTGCTCAGCAACTCACTCTTATCCCTTAAATATCGCAGACTAACCACATTCATCGAAGTGAATCTGTCAAAATTGACCCAGTTGGCCAATTGAATCGGTCAACGTCCCCTTATCTGCCCTTTTATCTCCCAATTGTGGCTAAAAACCCAAGATAACCTTCGTTTCCCTCATTCCTTTGTGAAAACCCTTCTCTCTTCGCCCATTCAATAAACCTAGCTGTCGCCACCATTGCCACTTATATCGTTCTCTCTAAAATCGCTAAACTCAATATTGGAGGAAAACCACACACATGCTCCTTCTCATTGCAGATCGGAGACGACCATGGGCCGGAGCCCTCCAGGTACCGTCCTGCAGGTAAGCTTGTACATAAGCTTCCGATCACTGGACTGGTAAACTTTCACTTTCATGTTTAACATGGTTTGTTTTTTCATCTGCCAATTGTCTGTCTATATGAGACTGTGGTTGTTATATCTCTCCTGCTTACAAGCATTATTTTAACTATGCGTGGATTTGACCTCTGCAGGTTCTGAAAACCGCCATCATAGATGGAGATGTTGTTGGTGGAACATGTGCTAATAGTTGTGTGCACCTTCAATTGCTATAAGTGGTCGAATGTGTGAGCTCCATAATGAACACAACATAAAGTTATTTGGTTTACATGTATGTCCGTTACCATCACCAAATTTTATGTTTTTTAACCATATGTTAAAGGCTAAAACATTCTTACTAAATTTGATATTTATTTTTGCTGAATGGTTGTTGTTGTTGGGTATGACAGACAAGGGTTAGTTGATCATACATACAGTCCTTCCTCCATGTTACAACAACACTAATATTACAAACATTGTAATTACAAATTGGGTTTCTACATTTTTCTTTTAGTGATTTCTACAAGGATCTTATTTATGATTTACAAAAGATTGATTTTGGCATTTGCAGGGAAATAAGACGTAAAATACTAATTTTTTGACCCAAAAACATTACCAGACCCTACTCCCTCTCCCTTTCAAGTCAAAAGAGGTAAAACACCTATCTCTCTCTCTCTCTATGTATGTGTTTGGTTCATTAATAAAGTTTTACTAAAGCTAACATTAACATAGGCCTGCTTTCTTGTGTCTGTTGAAGTGATGCAATAAATGCTACAATTTGTGTGGTTGTGGTTTTATTCAAATGTTTATTTCTTGTGTGTGATACTGGCAATTGGGTTACTAATTGTATTCAACTCCCTGCATTCATCCATGTGCTCCTTGAAACAAATAAATCGGTACTTTGACCCTGGTTTCTTTATTCAAAAGAGATATGGATAATGATTGTTTAAGTAGGCTTGGGGCTTTTATTCCATTCAAGGAATCTATGAAAAATGGTCGAAAAGTGAAATCATTGTTGGGTCATCTTCAATGGAAACAACAAGCTCAACATGCCTAAATAAGTAAATCATATAACTTGATAATTTGTTTAATCATCTGATCCTTTGAGATTTTTTCATCGTTTTTTTTTAAAAAAAATTATTAGTTTTTAAGGACTTGAAAAAACAGGAAATGTGATTCTTGATTAGTGTTCTAATTGGTGATTTGTTTCTCTATGGTGTTTCATGATAATGGAATATTTTGAATATGTGTAATTTTGCAGGCCAGAGCCACAAGCCAATCAATAAGAAGGAAAGTGAAAGAATGTGATTCGATTTGTTTTTCTGTTGGTACACGTAGACTCATGCACCATGAGTTCATTTGCAATACTTAGTTGTTAGAGGCATCTTTTTGCTTCGTTTTGCCAATTTTGACATGTTTCAGGTAAGTGCATGTAGAAAACCACGACTCGGCAAGTGCATTTAATTAGAAAACCATGAACCTTGTAAATCCAGTTTCTACCTATAATAGCGATCACAATATCTTTTTTGAAATTTTTATGGTTGTCAGAATGTTGAAATGGTATTATACATTGTATTATTGAGGAATG